CAGTAACGCCGCTTGCATGTAGGAGTCCGGTTCGCGGCGATAACTTCCTGTCACAGAGTTCACCGTGAACTGCGAGTTGACACACGTGCGTTTCACCTTCATCAGCGGAACGGCGATAATAATCTCAACAGGAATAAAAGAATTAGAAACACACACATATTAATATTTATTTGCAGTCTTTGTAATCTTTGACAATTTTTGTCATCTTTGTCACCCACATATAAGGCCAATATGACACGTTTTCAAAAAATTTCGATTAAAAACAAAATTCTAATTTATTTAATAAATCTTTCAATTTGTGCTGATCGTGGACAAAGCTTTGAGCTACTCATGAAAAAATCAATTCTTTTTACGTCGCTACGAAAATGACCGGCAAATTTTAAGATTGTAATTTTAACCCCTTTCCCCTATAAAAGGAAAGAAGAGGGGGAGGGAAGAAACGTTCTTTTCTAATACCGCACCTCGGATATATATCGGTTGACCAACTTTAAACGCGAACTTACCGCGCGGCCACTCGCCTCGCTGAAAATACCTCATTTATTTAAACGATTGTCCGTCAATTAAGTACGGATCGCGGCAGGTAGGCGGATAATCCGCAATAATTATCGCGTCAACCAGCCCCGCGAACCGCGAGTTTTAACGCCGGGGGCGCCGGATATTTCGAGCCGCGCGCGTTCCGCCTTTAGACGTGAACTCATTGATAATACTTTCCGGTGAAAGCGCGTTTGTACATTTAATCCAACACGCCACGAAAGCCGCGCGCTCGCGCAGACTAACGATATCTGTTACGTATATTATTATATCAGAGACGGTGTCAGCGCGCGCGGCTGGATGTTGAACGTGCTTGCGTCATGTTAACGTAAGCTTCTATAAATGTCGGTTTTATGTTACCAGCGGGGCTGCCAAATTTCATTCGTTAAGGAAGATTCGTTCAACATGTCAATTACACTCGTTTCGAGGCGAGGAGAGAGAAAAAAAGGAACGTAGGAAGAAAGACGGCAGATTCGCGCGGGAGTAACCGTCGGGGCGACTTTTTCGGGTAACGTCAAATTGCTCTTTATCGAATGGCTATCTTTGTGATTCGAACTGGCGGAGCTCCGCTTCATGCGCGCGCGAACCCGCTTAACTATTAATACAACAGCGCCATACCGTTTTTACCTTTTTACAAATTGTAAAGGTACACGCGGATGAACAGCATTACCAGCGCCATCGGCAGCGCGTGTACGAGAATAACCGATCTCGCGCTCAAGATTTCCCTCTTGACACGGTCGACACAGCGGCGGCACGAGAGAGCATCACGCATCGCGACGCGCATAATCGAACTTGACCCATAAAGAAAGTCATCGACACGCCGTCGGGGTTTCACGGCTCTACGATGGCACTCACTTACATGCGGACGGTAAGATAAACCTCGACGAGCGTGTGTGATGCGGCTAAGTTCACAAATTCGAGTAGATAAAGAAGGCGCGCACCGGCCCCGGAGTCACGTTTCCACTCGGCCATTCTTCTCCTGCGCGGCTCCACACGCTCGACAATAATAATATTATCCCTAATCGTGACTGTGTGATACTCTCTCGTCGTTAACATCTACATTCACGCGCTCACGAGCGAGCGATCGAGCGCCGGCCCGTTTCGATCCGTGCCGGACATTTCTCTCTCTCTCTCTCTCTTTGTGCGTTTATTGAAAATAAATACACGACGCCGGCGCGCCTCTCATTACAAAACCCGAAGACGAAACCGAGCCTTTAAGTGCCGGGACCTTTCGCCCCGGTGATTACCGCCGACGATGGTATCGCGTGAAAGGTGTCTTTGCACTCACGGCGGTTTTCCAGCGGAGTCGCGCGTGCTGCCGATGCCAGACGAACTCTCCTCCGCGCGGAGAGCGCGAGACGGGAAAAAGAATACGGACGCGCGCGCGCGTGTACATCTCTCCTCCTCATCTTTAAATAGCGGTGGACGTCGCGCGAGCGCGGCGAAATCCATTTCCAAGTAGCTACGGACGTTTTAGACGGACCACCCACGACGACATCCCCTCTCTCTCTCTCTCTTTCCTCCCTATCTCTCATTCTCTCTCGGTTCCTCACTCGTCCGAGCAACGTTTTGCCCCGCATCTCCGAGCGTTCTTCCGCGAATTTAAATCGCACTTCCTATGCGCTCGCTAATGTCGTCCAAGCGAGATTCCCCGAGACACCCGCACGGTACATCGTCATTTCCCGTGCGAGCGACGTGTCTCGCGTGTATCTCCGCTAACGTCGCAATATCGCGGCTATTCGCGAGCATTTCGGTTTATCTCTCGCGCGAACGATGGGGTGTTTAAGAGGCGTCCGAGAGTATCCGGAGAGTAAGCGCGAGTCCCCCTCTCTCTTTTTCTCTCTCTCTTTCTTTCTTCGGTAGGTGCGCTTGACAAAAAACCAGGCTCATATAATTATCTTTTAAAAACAATCTCTTGATACATAATGTTCGGTCGGTCTGAACAATACCATATCATTTTAATTAATGATATTTATGCGATATTGTAATTTTCTTTCTTTTTTCCTAAGTGTACAAAATGTTGATTATTGTAAAAAGAATCATTTTTGTCGTTGTGCAATTAAGGAGACAATGTCCTGGAATGCGTAATAAATAATGCATCTCTCTCTCTCTCTCTCTCTCGTGTATTGCATTGTGGCTTTAATATAGGTACTCTTTGTAATTCACTTAATCAATCATGCTGTTTCTCTTTATTTTATTTTTGTTATATATAATATCGCTTCTTCTCTATGGCTCGTATTCCATATTTACTCGCCTCATAGACCACGTGTCTATTCAATTCATTCGATTCATTAGATTATGCGTGTATTACCATACTTTAGTCATATTGCTATTTCTTTTATCATTAGCCTTATCCATTCTGGAGCCCCACTCTTTTTCTCGCGTCATTGTAAACTCTATGGGTATACTGTATCCTCAAGGTATCAATAAATACTCTACTCTCTCTCGTTCGCTTTCTCACACTGTTTCGCTCTCCCCTCTCCTTTTTGTAGGCTGTCTCTTATATAACATCATTAAAAAGCGTAGGCCCGACTCTCCGTTCACAATGAGATACATTTTCGAGATCCTTGCAAAAACACGAGATCAGCGCCTGATTTAATGGTGGTGCCTCAATGTCGAACCGTGTTATGTATGCGTTCTTTTAAATGCTGCAGACTGTGAAATAATCCGCTGTCTGATGTTAGGTGCGCGGTCTTCGTCGGGGCTTTCAAGGCGAAATTTTATAACCATCTGCTGAAACAAGGCTAGTAATGGCACCAATCGAGCATGGGTTGACGCTGAACAATATATCCTCGTGTAACAATTTATTAATAACGTCACTGAAACAATCGCGATTTGGTTCTTAGAGGGCCGTTCTATTTCTATATAGTTGAATCACAACAAAGCCTCTGTAAATATAATTCTTCTTTTCACGATAATGTTTGAAAGCTCTTGAGGGGTCTCTAACCTACAGCGCTAAATAAGTAATGCTTCCTCTTTTTCTTTTTTTAACACACCTTTATTAATTATCTACTAAATCTTGAAAGACCTCCTTATTGACCGTTTTGACTTATGTAGTAAGAAAAAGGAGAACGGTCGGTACGGTGTGTCAGGTTTCACCGTATTAATTAATGATGAATTTCTCTTTCTCATAATATTACTTCGCTGCTGCTATAAATTTTGCTTTCAGCAGAGCTATTATCTACTATTAGCGTACCATTGCTTTTTCTTTTCGCTACTGCTTCGCCGCTGCTATAGATTTTGCTTCCTCTCTATAGAGCTATTACTTACCATTATCTGTTATTAGTATATTATTACCTGCTTTTATTACATTCTTACTGCGTTACGTCGCTGTTGTTTTCCTTACTGCACGCTCTGTACTGGCTTTTCAGCCGAAATTGCTTTGTGTATGCCCAAGAGAATACCTGTGTCCCACGGGATAATAAAACTATCTGTCTCTCTCTTTCTCGAGTGATCCCCTCGGATGTCCCCGGGATGTTCTCAGGCCGTACGTCCCAGTCGACGAAGCACAGCGTGGAATCACGTCGTTTCAGCGGGGAACGCGCGAATCGAACTGCTCCGCTACATCAGTCGCGGGATGCACAAGCGATTATCGACCTTTCCTTCCACTCTCTCTGCTGCGCCGACCGGATGATCGATAACAATCGCTAACATAGTTTCACCGTGCGGATCGATCGGATCGGTGCGGATCACGCGGATTACCGATCCGCGAGTCCCGACGTCGCCGCGAAACGCTTTGTGCTATCGCGTGGCGGAACGACGCACAGAGAGGCGCGCGTTAATGATCGCGAAAACGCGCGGGAGGACAGGATGACCGCGCGTTCGGACGCGGCTCTGAGATCTTCCCGAAAACTCGCGGCCATTCTTCGGAATTCTGCCGGGATCGCGCGAGTTCAACGAGCTGTCACTGTCGGCCGCTTCGATATGATGCAATCAAACCGACGCGTAATAGCAGTGATGCTGTGATGCGAAAATCGAGAGTAAAGTCGAAAGGAAAAATCATCGAAATCAAGCAAGCACGGATTGCTCGCTCAACTTCTGATTGACAGCGGGCGTTATCCACCGAAATCAATGATAAAACCGGGAACTCCAACGGAGCGCGTCGGTCTCTCTCCGGCATCGTCGTCTCGTCATCGCGTCGATTCGCGAAATTCGCCGAGCTCCCGGTATCTCGCGCTATTTATCAATCATGATCGCGCCGGGATCAATCACGCGGCGAGAGGCGCGAACAGACCGCCGCCTCCTCTCTCTCTCTCTCACTCCCTCGCGAATTTCGAGAGTATCGTTGCTCCTGACGTCACCGCGGCGTTTAATGAGCGGCTACCAGAGAGGTTCTCCCCACATCCTCCCTACCCGCGCGCGGGGATCGCGACCAGAGGGAGACGGAGCGAGCGGCGGCGGTGGAGGGGGCGTAGGGAGAGCGAGAAAGATAGAGAGGAAGGGGAGAGAGGTAGTATCGTGTCGGACGCTGGACGAGGCGCACGCTCGATGCGAGGCAGCGCGTGCTTTCATGCGTGCGGAGACCGGTGGAAGCGGTACCAGGACCACGGCCAGTCCTGGACGTCCACGTCGTCCTGGTCGTAGGCGTCGCCGCGCGATCCGTCCCGGCCGGACCAGTTCGGAAAGTGGTTGAGGTGTCCAGCCGTCGTCATCGTCGCGCCGACCACGCGGCACACGCGCGTACACGCACGTGCCTGAGTGCTCGGTGTATGTGTGACAGGCGGCGTGAGCGCGACGGAGACGAGCGGCTACCGAGCGCGGCCGAGCGCGGGCGAGGATCCGCGATCATAGCTCGCGGCGTCCTGCCGCGCAGCCGATTGGTCGACGGCCCGAGGAAGTGGTCACCGCTGACAAGGGTTCCGAGCAGGCCGCCACGTGAGTCGAGTGCAGCCACCGCGAGGTAGAATAGCGCGCGCGCCCACACACACGTACAGCGGAGAGACTTTTCGACCTTCCGCATTTGGAGAGACACAGGGACGTCGCGGAAGCGACTGTGATCCGGAAGTGTCTCTCCGGTGTCTGTGGACCGGTGGAGGACTCGCGATGAACTCGCACGGGAGGGCGCTCTGAAAGAGAGAAGAACTTCACCTCTCTGATGAAACACCTTGCTTCCCTCCCCTCGACCCCTCCCTCGGTTATGTGTCACGGAAGGTCGTCATGTTGCCCCGCGGCGGTGTGAGAATCCCTCATCGCCGATGACGCTCGTTACAGGGGAGTGAGATCGTATCGGCCAGGATCTCGCGCCATTTGTCGAAATGGGACCGATGGAACTTGTGTGATTAGGACAAAAACTCCGAGAGAGTGGTAGCCGCGAGGTATCGTGCAAGTCACGTTACTCCGATTACTTCCCCGAGACGCGCCGGTTACGAGGTGAAGCGGTGTTGTGGTCTCCGAGCGAGAGAGATAGACGACGCACCGGCCGATCGCTCGCCGGTCGCTCTCGAGAGACAAGAAACTCTTCTCGTATCAGACTTCAGCTTCTCGTGTGTCCGTGCAATTAATACGCCGCGTGGCACACCGGCTGATCACCCCGATCGAGCGCGCGAATCCGACGTTCTTTCCGGAGCGCGCAAGTGCGCCGCGGGCTGACGCTCCGACTTCGATTCTCTTAATTTCTGCCGCGCGACACATTGTCGCGCACCAGCCACGTGAGTGATCGATCGCGACCTACGACAACGTCGAGCGAAGAAGAGACGCGCGCTCTTTCGCCCGCGGAGCGAGTGCTCGCGTAGCCGAGGATGGAGGACCGACGAGCGCGATCGAGGATCGAGGACCCGGGGTTCCCAGTCCCCGCGGACCTCTAGTTTCCCTCCTCTAGCCGTGACACTCGGCGAGGTAATAGCACGTTCTCCGATCGTCGGCGCGACGAGGATTCGTCGACGAGCGGACCTTTTGCGCGTTCCTTCCGCTCTCGAGCGAAGAACTTCCTCCTCGGGTGAGAAAAGGGAGGGAAGGAGAAGCCCGAAGCGGGAAAGTTCGAATTGCGGAGGCACGTCGTTGCGGAAGAAGCCGCGTGGTCGATCGATCGATGGTGACTCGACGTCAAGGACCGCCGCAGTGACTCCGGTGAACTCTCTTCGGTGAGAGAGAATCGAGCGGGACGCGGGGAAGGGAGAGTGTGAAAAAGGTGGGTGCGTGCTCGGAGGAGGTAACGAAGAGAACTCGAACAGAGTCCGCCCGCCGCCAGCGAGAAAAAGTGTACCAGGCGTTTAACGCAACTCGGATCAAGCTGGATTTTCGCGCCCGCGATATATCGCGCTTTCCGCTTGGGGTGAGCAATCTAACAGGCCGTGCGACGGATTTCTATTAGTTACAAGGGTCTCTCGGTAATTAAGAGAATGGCCGACTTGTCGATTCGAGACAATGTTTTGTGCCTCTGAGTCTTTGTGCCCGAGTAACGCGCAATGACTGTCTTGTATCTGGTCTTAAATAAAAAAGTTCACGACTCTGTGTGTGATTGATGGCAAATCGCTGTGAAAGAAGGTTAAAAAAATGATGATTTGGGGCAAATATTGAGGGCATAAAATGTTTTCTTGAAACTACAACTCCGTATTTTCTCGTTAGACTTGTAAGAACTTGTGACTGGGATTGTCATTCTATGCGCATCGTACGATTCCTCGTAAATCTTACGGCAGAAGCTTTTTGTAAGCCATAAATATTATATGGGAAATCTTTTAGTAACTGTCAAAAAATATGAATAAAAAGTGTTCAAATTACACGTGAAAACTTAATAGTATATCGCTGATCATTAATCACTAATCGGACGGCTGAAGGCTATCTCACTATGGTCTATGGTCTATAGTCACTGCGATCCATCTAGATCTATTGTAAATAATTAATATAACAGACTCTATTAATGCTGTCCCATTCCTTGAACATAGTAACGTTAACAATTTCCAATTAGACACGTTTTTGAATAATTGTGCGTTTGAATAATTGTCATGACTGCCGTTTTGTAAAATCGTCGTCGATTTGTCAAATTATCAATAGTCATGATGCACAAATAATGCTCCTGGTTGGAGATTTTCTATGTCACTATACTTAAGGAATGGGACAGCATTAATGGAGTCTACTGTACATACTTGATGATTAAAATAATGGGAACACCTGAATCTGCAAATAAGTCGATGATTTTTCTTGAGTCGCGGTCTACAATAGGTGTTTTACGGCTTAAGTCTTGAGAAGTTGACCAGTCACAGTCGAATGTGAGGAGAATAATCGACCGTGATTGGTCAATTTCTTAAGGCTTAAAACACTATGGTAAACCGGAATTTACGCGTAATCACGCGCAACTCTTAAATGACTAGTTATATATATTTGAAATTACTTACGCTCATCGTAAACATAAACATAAATATAAACATGTAACCATGGGCGGTACAGAATTGTAACTTACTGTAAGTCAGATTCTTACGATTGCTTCATAAACTACAATCTTACAATTTATTTATAAATTTATTTAGAATTGCAGCGTAAGTTTCAGATATATTGATGTAATCGCGAGCCACTTAAAACAATCTGATGAGTCACGTTGACACGCGATTGAAACATCAGACAAGCACAGATGCGCGCTATTTAGCTAATTACTACTGCACGGAAAAAATCTCAGTTCGTGTAACAAAATAAGCATCAGACCGAAATTCTTTGATGAGAGACGATATCTCCGTTGCTGTCAAAATGCATAATCCTCGCGATGACAGCCGCGAGTCGAAGCAAGCAACAACTTGCATTGAGAAAAGGTTCGTTCTTTTTAAATGTGCTGCACTAAAAACGTCGTTCCTTTTCCTTTCAATACTCGATTACGTAGTTTCAATACTCGATTACGAATTTCATTCTAAAGGAAGAAAAGTGCAGCCTAATTCAGCTAAGAAAAACAGATCTAAAAAAGAAGAGGCTTCAACACTCCGATATATTCGAGCTTGAAGTTTTACGCCTTTTTTTAGGAAGAAAGAAAGAAATTACACGTATGTCTGTATGTGTGTGTATATGCATAAAATATATGCCTCTCGTTACATTCGACCTCTCGTTTCAGAAGCGTAAGGAAAAATGGGTCACAGATGCTTCCAAAAACGGAATGATTAAATCGCATCTGTCTTTAAAAGCGCCAAGCTGGTCCATACCTCCGATGGTTTTAGCACAATAAGCGCGGAAATAAGCTGTAAAAATACCAAGGCAACACGTCGGGCATGTGGAATGGACGCTTTTATAGAACACAGCCGTTCCTAATGGAATAATTCAAGGCACTTGGGAAGTGCGATCGCGAGAAAGAATGAACGAAAAGCGCGATGCGCGTGAGAGAGCACCCGTCGCCGATCGCTACGCTATAATTAGGACAATGTCGCGCGCGTCCCGCCCTACGAAGCGGAGAAATAAACAATTTAAGGCGTGAGTAGGGCTTCGTTGACGGAAAACGCCGCTGAAATTAGCGCCTGCGTCGATCGTTATTAATGACACACACGGGACCGGCGGCCGCATCGCTTATGAACTCGGTGTAATTATACGATTGACGCGAGAATAAATCGATGAATTAAGGATTAAAAACCTGGCGCGATATTGAACGCTTTTCAGGCGATCAGAAAAGGAACATTGTCTCGGGATAAAAAATGAGGAAGTATTCTGAATCGAAATTTTAGATCTACTTTTGATGAGAAAGCTTTAGGTCTAATTTTGATTATTAGTTATTCAAGGAGATAATTTTATATATTATAGCAATCCTTTTTTTTACATAAATGTTACTTTTTATGATATTAATTTTATAAATGTGCGTGTAAAATAATATTAAATTAATTCTTATTAACAATATTGTTGCAGCTTGTGTTCACATGATTATTAATAATGAGATGTATGTTGGTATTCCTGTAAGTTAATAAGAACTTGAATAATGATGTTAAGTTAACGATTGGAACTTCTTCTAACAATTCTTAACTGTAATAATAACTGTCTTCAATAATTATATAATAAAAACGTTTCTGTTTCAAAAAAACTAACACATATTACTTGCCTTCCTTATAAATATTACATATTTTAACACGCTTAAATTTCCATGTTTATTATTTTGATTAATTGTAACAAGATTAAAAAATGACTTAGGAGAAAAAGAATTTGAATTTATTAATATTTCGTTTATTTATATTATAAGAAATTAAGAAGAATTTAGAAATATCGCAGTAAAAGCAGCAAACCATCCAAGTAGAATTTACAGACTTTAAATGGAAGCTGTAAGTTGAGTAGAATCAAAAGTGGTTAGGCTTCAGAATATCAGAATAGGCGTTAAATGAAATTTTCAGATCGGAAGTAGAATCAAATCATAATCGTGTCGTATTTTTTGCGTGATTAGAAGTGACGGCACACTAAAGTGTCCGATACACCGGGCGAGAGGGCTTTGTCCGCTCACGAAGAATGCAGCTTTCTGGTGGAGCGTTACCGCGTAAATGATAATAATCTTCTTGCTTACTCCACTCAGGGACTCGGTGCGCGGATAAATTCTTTTTCTACTTGCCGATTCCACTTATCATCCTCGCGCGCACGCTGAATGAATAGCGCGAGTACATTTCGCGTTGATGCGACGTGGTGTTGGCAAGGCATTAGTGGCACCCACGGCAGCGGCTGCCAGAAATGTCTACGGTGCACTAACTACCGTAAAGGCCGGCTAGCCGTAATTCGCGTATAACGCAGAAATAAACAACGCGTAAAGCAGCGGGTTATACAACGGCGGCTCGGCTGGCGAAAAATCGCGTCGCCGGGAGCTGCGACTTATTCTCGGCGTACGCGGAGAAAATATTGTTCAGTAAAAATTACATTGAAATTACACTTCTTTTCGCGATATTTTCACAATGAAAACTTTCAAGAAGGTACGTGAGATGACATTACAGATGACATCATCTCAATATAACCTGACTCGTTCTCTTCACCCAGGCAGACTGTTTTTAATGATATTTAAATATACATAATGGCGTGCATTACCATTTTTAATGAACTTTGCACTATCGGCGATCGCTCACTGTTCCATACATCGTTGAAATGATATTTCAAATCGAACAAAATATATTATTAAACGACTATTGTAATGTTTATCGCGAATATTTAAAATAATAAATACCAATACTTTCAGTTTAATGAATTATATGTTAAAACTTACTATTGACATATTGTAATCTTAGTTATAAACGTAGTATAATGTATAATACTAGTTGTACTACTAAAAGAAATTACACAAAAATTGCAAGATTTCTTCTTTATTATAATGAAATATGCTTGTTCCGTATTATAGTAACACAACATTCAAGTAATTACAATATTTTTGCAATAAAAAGTCAAACGTGTATAATATTTGTAAGTAAAACTATTGTAATTCCGATCATAATCTCTGTATGGTCCAAGTTTTTTTACCAAAATTTTATTCTAATTTTTACTATAATATTTCCTCCGTGTAGTTATGTTTCTTCTCTCTTGCACGAAGAAATGCATCGCTGTTTCAACGCCAAGTAACGAAAAACCCGTCAAAGTTCTTAAAGAATCGAAGGGAATTGATTTTGTTCCACGTCGTCGAAATTGTGTAACAGGATGCGGCCCGGCGATCTCCGAGATCGTTTCCGATTTGGGAAAACCCATCGAAATGATAATTTTCGGCGGGGAATTTTTCCGGTTTCGAAAAGAGATCGAGTTGAATCGAGCGAGCGCTGCGCGTTCTCGCGCGAACCTCGCGCTCTAATCGTCGTCGACCGGTAAGCGAGCGAGTTAATGACAGACCGGAAGCGGCGTTTAATTAAAGTACGCACGTCCGGCAGAGACGTTTTCACGAGAGGCTCGGTTATACTTGTCCGGCAGTTGCGTAATTCCACGTACGAAGGGAAGAATAATAAATTATCGCGGATCATGCACTAATAAACCCGAGCGCGTTCGCGAGCAGTTCCCGCGAATTGAATCCCGCGGAATCGACTGCGTTCTTTATCGAGCCGTCGTGACATTGTAATGATTACGCAATAAGTGCTAACAGTGCGCTCACGCGTTTACTTGTACGACAGTGGTAATTACCGCGGATTCTTCTTCGGTTTCAAAGCAGGATATAATCGTCGCGTACAATCATGTGTAATTCCAAAGTTGAAAACTTTGAACACATGAATCTCAACGACGACGAATAATTAGCAAATAGTGCACAACAATAAAAATCTAACGTTCCTTCGTATTTTTTCATGCTTCCTTTTTACCATCTATTTAAGAAACTCTATTTGGTTGTTTATTTATATATTATTTATTCATTTATAGAGCCGA